TGGTACCATTAATTTATTCTAACGAATATCAAGTTTCTTTCTTTCTCCTCTATTTTATTTTTTTTACAAACTTTATAATGATGATAATTGCTATCGCAACTGCAGAAGACTTATTTTTATTTATAATCCTGCCTTTCTTAATTTTGCTTATTAACTAAATATTATTGGTATTGAACAATTTATTTCTGTGAGGTCCCTTTTTTTGTACTTAGTTTCTAAGCTTTCCTGATGGCGAGGAAGCGCTGCAATCTTGGCGCAGAGGAGTGTCACCCGGCCCGTAGCGTCGTCCTTCCACCATTTCTGGGATTCCGCGTTGAAATCGTATCTGCATACGTTTTTGTTTATCGTCCGCGCTCTACTTCCATTAGCCGTCTACGTTTGCGCCTCAAAATTCTACAATCTCCAATGAAGACATATCCTAACTTATTAGTGTTTATACAACTCGCAGATGTGCATCTTGCGTCTACCAGATCACACGAAATCTTTCTCAAAAACATTTTTATGCCAGTCACGGCTTCACGTTTTCACTCTACCAAAACACCGGCACATGCTGCACCATGTTGTCTGCTCGGCATCTATCATCCCTCTGTCTCTTCTCCAGTCAGTCAAGTTTTTCGATTATTTTCTCAACAATTAAATACGTCAGTTTTATTATTTTATTTTTATAGTTTTTGTGTAGAGTCCGAATGGACCGTCACACTGCGGCCCACTACATCGGGACTGCTATGACCTGTTCTCGTGCCGCAATTGCCTCCTCACTGTCGTCTCCTCGCTGAGCATTAATTTTGTTCCATCTACAACCCGCAGCGCCCATTCCTCCTGTCCTACTCTGCCTCACGTCACACGACAACACCCAGCAACCATGGAACCCCAACAGATTGGGAATGGCTTTTAACTGAAGCGCAACTTGTGTTTTGCAACATCTATCGGAGGTGCAACAAAATTAATGGCATAAAAACCTTCTCCATGAAGAAATGTGTTGGAGTTTATCAATCTCGGACAAACCAACAGCCAAAACAATAAAATACATATTTTCAATATCATATAATATATATAATAAATTATATATTTTCAATGTATCACAAACTTAAGCTTTGGGTTCAAAATCCACGTATGAGATGAATGTTTCAATTTCTGTTTATGTTATAGGGGCATACCAAGTCCTTCTTGTATTACATCTGTATCCCAGTCCTTCCATAATCTCTTGGCATGACAACTGTGTGGTGTGCAATTGAGGGACTAGATTCCTACACCCCTACATCTAGTGGTGTAGGCATTGAGATGGAACCAGGAATATCATGGGTTAAAGGAACAGGACCATGATAACCCCATGCAATGTTCAGAGTGCATATAGGTGTTCGTCACTAGTAATGTCCCCAGAGGAGTACTAGGTATCACAAGAGGCCTTGGTAGAAGCTCTAGACACCAATTAATATATGTTAGGAATAGGGTAGAGCAAAATTGTAAAGCTAGCTCAGCGGGTTCAGTGGTATGAAGGTTAGCGTATCGGACTATTGTACCTAAGTTAGCAAGTTCAAACCCTATCTATGCTGTAGATTTTTAAGGGTGAAAAAATCCCATATATGCCGTCCTTTGGAGGGAAGTAAAGCTGACTGTCCCATGAAGTAGATTTACTATGATTAAGAAATCCTCAAGTCTAAAAGAAGTTTCTGAGCTCAATGCAAATTGCTTCTTTCGCCCAGGATATACTTTCTTCTTAGAGGTGAAAGGTATAGCGAAAATTTGCATGGTCAGATGGAAGAGTGGGCCTGATGACCAGAGTCTCGCCACATAAAATAAGACACTAACCAAATAATTAATCTAAGAGAATAGGAAACTAACTAACACGAAAAAGTTTATGCTATTCTGTTGGACCACTAGTTTAGGATATTATTTGCTTTACTGCCTGAGCCCTTGGCCACTCATAATATTACCAAAGTTGGTCCATTAAAAAAAATTGCTGAGAAATTATTGTGACTTCCCTCTTCTCTAACTGGATCTGTTACGGAAAAGATAATAGACATTTGTCTCTCTTTGAGGTTTTCGCTATTCCAACAAGACAGAGCCAAAGAATGGGAAACTGATTTTTGGATGGGTTTCATATAATGTAAGGGTACCGCATAAGTATTGCAAGCTAGAATTTTACATTAATACTTATCCTAACATTGCCCAAAATTCTGACTCCAACTAGGTATCTTAAACTCTTGCCTTTCCTTGTAAGTGAATAAAGGAATGTGAAAGGTGTGGAAATAATATTGAAGAATTAAATTCTTATCAAGTTTACATAGGATTCTTTGCACAAGTAATGTGGTTTTCTAGAACACACTTCTCCTAATATCAATCAAGATTAAACTTGTACTTTTGAGGGTTGAGCAGTATTTTTAAGTTGACTAATAATAATTGTTCCAGGTGAGAAAAACTTAAAACTTCATGGGGAGCTGTTTTATCAAATAAAACCTGGTCTCTCCTCCTTCGCTGATAATCCAGAAAAGGTAATAAGGGGCAATAATTTTCAACTGCCTCTTTTTTTCACATGTTTATTACTGCCTGACTCTACCACAACTGTGGTTAGTTTTAACATGTTGGCATTTGCTCAAATATTTTATAACTTGGCATTACATTTGGAAATTTAAGTATGTTTAGAGCTAGTGGAATACTTATGATGACTGGTGAAGCACTCCATACTTGCAATATTCTTAGTGTTATGTTCCACATCACATTGAAATTTTGCCTTTTATATATACATTTCTATCTTTTGTAATGGGTGGATCGTGGCACTCACACACACATAATATACACAAATGAATCGTAATATACATAAATGTGAAGTGAATGATCAATAGCAGTCACAAATCCAAGTTTCTCTAGTGAAATTTTTGTATGATGTGAGCATAATTTTGAAGTCTTTTATTTCTGTAGTTCTAAAATGTGAGTCACTCTGGCTAGAAAGTTAAATTCGAAGTGCTTACTGGAGAGTACATTTTGATGAATGTTCAATGCTACACATACACAAGCTTATTTACTGCATTTTAAATTGTACCATGTTCATTTAAGGGTAAATCTTTTGCAAAAGGCCTTCTTTCCTGCTTTATGATTCCCCTTTTCATGCCATAAATACCAGTGGCAAAATCAAAACAAGTGGACTGGATACCAGACTTTTGTGATCAGCTATTTAGCACATAATTTTTAATTTGATCGTTAATTTTGCTTTGTTATATTCTCTGAATGTGAGGTCTTTTTTATTGAGAATAACTAGTTACATGGTAATTACATGCATGTCTACATAGTATGTTTGGAGGCGTATATTTCAAGATCATTGCATTTTTCGTAGTACTGTTTGGGGAATTTATTATCTTTTGTGTAAAAACATATTTTTTGGGGATTATGTAAGTTATAATGTTTTAATTTTTTTGTCTTTTTATAGGGTGCAGAGCATTTACAAATTCTACTTGAAAAAGCGAAATCTGTGATACCTAGAGAAGCATGGGCGGAAACTCCTTTATCCATGAAAGCCACTGCCGGCCTTCGACTTCTACCAAAAGAGAAAGCAGAAGCCTTGTTGCGAGAGGTATTTCCTTTGATCAATCAGTCATGGACCATATCACAAATTTATGTTTAACAAACTAACACCAACTGTTTACAATTTATTTGAAATCAAACCCTACCTTCATTACTTCATTTGACCCATTGCAGTATAATTGAAGGGCTTGCAGCAGTACCTAGGTAAGTCAGCCACATCGAATCTCCTGCTATTTTTAAATGTTACTATCTTGAGTTTGGTGAAAGTGTAGCTTATGTAGTTATTATTAAAATCTTCAGTATAATTCCTCTCCTTCTTTTATGTATAATTTAATTAATTTTAAGTATTATTTTTTCTATTTTTTACTAACTTCCTTTATGTGCCATTAATTTGCCTGGTCGTCATGATCCACGATATTTTGGCTAGCTCAGTTATAATTTTAAAGTAGCATTCTATCTTGGAGTTTTTTTATTCTTATTGTGAGCGTAAACATTCATTGCTCTGTAAGGTCTCAGCTGATAACTGTTACATTGGGAAATCTCGTTTGGAAACACTCTTTCTGAAATGAAAAACCTTATTTGAAATCTCTAATGTGCAACAATGCTCTGTTATACTGATTATTATTAAACCTCTTCCATGGATGCTGTAGGATATCATACGATAAATGTATCATAAAACAATTACAAAAATTTGAATGACAAATAAAACACAATCGCATCAATTATCTCCATTCATTCTAAAATGCGCAGATCTGTGCATTTATTAACTGAATAGAATCTAATGGCCATTATTGGTTGTATTACTATTGTATCCAAAAATTTTAAAAAATCTTGGACCTTGTACATTGCTAAGCAGGTTTTTTATTTTTTTTATTTTTATTATTATTATTTTTTTTTTATTATTATTTTTTTTTTATTTATTTTTAATTCCACTTTTCTTTTGTTAAATTTGCTCCCCACTTCCCCACTGAATAACTTCTAGTCCATTCATACTACTTCTTCACAGGCTCTGCCCACAGCCCAGTTACCTCTTGTTCTCCACTCTCAAAATAGACCAATATAATTTCTATGTTATCTTATAATTTCTATTGTTGTATACCAACATAATTTTAACTTTGCTATTGCTCCTTTAGTTAGCCTGTACTTTAGGCTAATATGGCAATTGTTCTATTTCTGTACTGCAATATGGAACAAAAATGTGTTTATCCTCCTCCACCCACATTAATTTTAATAATATTTGCAACTGCATGGACAGATCTTGTTGCATTCGTGAAGTGTGAACTATATGTATCAAGTTAGAACTCAGAAGCTTGTAATCTACGCAAGTTATGCATGACTCAAGCACACAGAAAAAGCTATTTTTTCATACCAAAAACTCTCAAAACAGTTTTTACCACTGAAATATCAACCTTGAATTTTTGGATGGTTTCCAATATTTTTCTTTTGTTTCAACAATAGCCCAGAAGTAGCAAAAGCAATTTATAATGAATCCACTTTAAGGAAGAATTATTTAATTGTTCCTACACCAGTACCTTCAATGAAATCAAAACAGAATTGACAGCAACTAGGTTTCCACGTAAGATCTGTTTTGCCACTCCATGAATGTCATAGTTGTGGGGAAATAAAATTTGAAGTACATTTTTTTGACAATTCATAGAATAAAATGGAATAATTCACTACTGATACCGCTCTTGCTGAAAGAAGAACAGTTTTAAATTGCTGAGTGTTTAAAATTCTTAACATGAACGTTGGTTTATAATTTTTGTAACGGTAATAATGGCAATATACATTGAAATGTGCAGAATTTGCACCAAAATTATCTAAATGCTTTTAGAGGAAAGTGCTTGAACATGCACAAATATGCACTTTAACAGTTTAAATATCACCAAATCGTTACTGAAGATTGAAACATTTTATAAACTAGAGTAAAACAAAATTATAAAAATCCACTCGTTACTTAAAACATTTACTGATCTCGTGGAATACTTTCACGTGTTGTGTGCATGAAAAAAGAGCGGTTTATTTATGTACTGTACAGAAAATTAGCCCAATTTCCTAAAACTTAAGTTAACGAACAATCATGAACAAGTAACAAATAAAATTAATAATAATAATAATAATAATAATAATAACAATGATAATGATAATAACAATGATAATGATAATAACAATGATAATGATAATAACAATGATAATGATAATAATATTGATGATAATAATAATATTATTAACAATAATAATAACGATAATGATTACTCTGAAATACACTACTCTAGTTAAGAACAGTTTTTATTGCAATAAAAAATAATTGAAAATACACTGGTATTGATATAAATAATAAACATAACTGACTGTGATACAAATAACTCTGATTGAACATAACAAATAAAAGAACTATTATGCTTTATTGTGATTCAGTATCCTGTCAGTTGTTAAAAACAATTAGGTTTTTGATAGTTTTAGTGAAGTTTAGGTGCCATTTGGAGCTCTTAAACTGAAAATAATGTTTTATTGTTTTTTCACAATGATTCTCATTAGGCAATACAACTTGCTTTATGGTAGAGCTTGAAACTTCCATATTTGTTTCAGGTTAGCAAGCTATTTGCCAACTCCCCATTCCACACCACAGCCAGTTCCGTAGGCATCATGGACGGAGTTGATGAAGGTCTGTTTTCATGGTTCACCGTCAACTTCCTTCAAGATCGACTGGGAGGAGATGTGGAAAATACTGCTGCTGCATTGGATTTGGGTGGGGGGTCAACTCAAATAACATTTGCTCCCAGCAGTGAGGCAACTCTAAAATCATCAGACCCTGAATACCTCTACCATATTTCTGCATTTCACCAAAACATCACTGTCTACACACACAGGTAAAATTATCTGTTTATAGGTTTAAAGGACTTTTTTCTTCTTTCATCATTAACATCCTCCTTTGGAACCAATGTTCCTGACTCATTAGGGGGTTGGAGAATGTTGTTGAGGTTTTGAAGTGTTCCTGCATTTAACATCTTGTGGGTTGTTTCTGTTTCATTTATTTGTAGGTCTATTACTTATGGCCTCTCTTGGTGATGTTTATCCTTTCATATGTCCCCTCAATTTATCCTGGAACTCTTTTTCATGAAGGAACTCCATTTATGCTGGAACTTATTTTCTTAAATTTTTGCCATCCAAATACTGTCACTTCTGTGTGACATGTAAGATTGAACCTGAAATGTTTCCATATTTCTGGATTCATTTGTACCTCCTATTCATCTTTCTGACCCATATTTCAGTTTCAGCTGTGTTCTAAGGAACTGTTTAAATATATTCACAAATTGTAACCTATTTATTCCATTCCCTCCTTTTGTAACCACTTGTATAGCCAAAACAAACAACGCTTCCCGAAATGAACGTTGCTTTCAGCCCCCTCCCCATGCTCCATGTTTTTTGAGTAAAGTGAGTTAAATTAAAACTATGACTTGGTTGATTTAATTCCCATTACCCTCTGATTTTTTTAATATTTATTTTGCAATGAACTATCAGCTAAAATTTGGCTTAAACTGAGAATAGCACTTTTGCCTTCTTGACGGCTCCCGGCTCGCAGGGGGGAGGGGGTCCATTATCCAATTCAATAGAGGCTTCAAATTGTGATGTCACTACAGAGTTGCCGATGCTTATTAAGAAAACAATGAAATAGTGTGAAGCAACTGAAAATCGAAAAGCGTCGAATAACATTACGTGTTTGGTTATGTATCGCCTATGAGATTCTGTGTTGTTATTACGTTACTTTGTGCATATGTAGTGAAAATACTTAGAGGCTGATATACTCAGGGCTTGTATGCTGGACTTGTATGCCTCAACAGGGCTTGTATGCTGATCTGATGCAAGAACAACTTTGTGTCTGCCGTCCGAGTAAGTGGCAACATCGCTCTCCGTCACTCCCGGCTATCAAATCGACAGAAATATTATTCGGACAATAGGCCTACCGTACTACATTATACATGAAGGAAGAGAAGGATGTAAAGTGTTTGAGTTTTACAAGTGATTATTTTTTAACTGGGGTGTGTGGAAGTAAGGTGCCTTAGGTTTGCCTTATTTTTGTTGCTCCTCTCTGAATTATTTCTAGAATATCTGTTCAAATTTTATAAAAAAAACATTTTGGATGCATAATTTGTTATGCATGTACATATGTGATGGAGCTCACTAAAAAAATATTTCACAATACTGTATTTACCTAAATACAAGATGAGGTTTATCCTAAATATTTTATAAAAGAAAAAAGAAAACAAAATAGTGGGTGGTCTTAAATTCACAGATTAAGACTGATCATTTAGGATATGATGTTATATTGCCTTTCCACATAATGAAACATGTAAATGATGACTAACAGGAAGCTGAGAAGACAATAAAAATATCACACTTAGGCGGGCTTGATTTCTAACGAAATGCGACGGAACGGCAACCTGGTTCTTCACGAATAATTACTAAATTATATTATAAATATATAACTATTTCTATTAAATTAACAATTAACAAATAAAAAATTTAGGATGACCTAAAATTTTATAAATAAAGCACTGCACTTTTGTATCATCCTCTCCTTTCAGTAGTAAAGGGGTGTTTTGCAGCTTTCACATACAACCAATCTTTATAAATAAGGTCTCTAGGGATAGAAAGGATGGAGACGTGATGAACTGCACTTTAACTTTAAAAACATGAAGGATTTGTTGAAAAAACTCATCTAAACAATGTCAAATGCAATCCGCAACACTCGGGCAGCATTGTTGAAATCTGTATGGTTATATAATTCTAAAACAAAGCATTCTAAGGCCTTACAGTCTGGAACCATCCTCGCAATGTACTCTTCAGGAGGAGGTCTTTTTGGACATTCTTTACATTTTTGCTGGTTTGGCCCTTCATGTTTCTACCCCACCCTTTCAGAGATTAAGAGTACAATTACAAGGAGACTTATTGAACAAGTTTCTGAAGATAATAAGGTATCAAATAAAAAGTTATATTATAGGCTTAATATGGAAATGGAAGGATAGTGAAGAGGGTGAGGTTTAACATTGAAAAGTTCTTGCATGGGTACGCTAGTTCCTAATTATATTACTGGACGTATTCTCGGCATCCACCGCAAATTTGCCGGGCGAGTAGACTAATATTTTTTAATGGCGCTGTAAATGGAGAATCTCAAACTAATGTCATTAAGTCAAGTGAAATGCACTGTAAATGTGATTAAAAATCATTGCTGAAAAATAAACAAACAATAAGCAGGTGAAGATGAAAAGGGTACTAAGAAAAAACATGATTATGATGATATAAGCATGATAGGTAAGCATGTTATTAATGAAAGGATTTGATCTATATTATATCTGAATTAAATATGAAAATGAGATCGAGCAATGGCAAATGAATTTATTACTTTAGGAATAAGAACTAAGTTGATCTCGGCTTGTCTTCAGAATTATTCTAGCCTGATCAGTAGTTTTCTATGGTTTCCCTGATCAGTTCTAGGCAAATGCCAGAGGAGTATCTTAACCAATGGTACACAGACCATGTGTAATCTTTCCTATCTGGTTTTTGTAACCTCCTCGCCCTTTAAACACACACACTTCCACATGCTTTGAGAGCAGTCAGGAAGTTCAAGTTTGTCCTGGCTGGGCTGCCACCCCACAGGGAGGAGATACATGGGAGGAACACTTCAGACTCCGGATGCAACATGCACTGCTTTGTACATGTCTTATGGCCAACACTAAAATTATAAAAAATATTATGAGTGTGTTCAGTTTCATAGACCTAATCCTTTTCCTCCTTGGTACATGTTTGCTTCAGTTGTGGGAATCTCCTCTCTACCTTATTGTTTTCTATCTCAGGAAAGGAGGAAGAAGTAATAAACATTTATTTCTATTAGGTCGACAGGTCAAAATGGAATGAGGAGGAGAAAGTGTAAGTAATACTGAATTTACCCGAATATAAGATTGGGTTTTTTCCGAAATATCTCAGTTGAAAAATGCGAGGTTGTCTTATATTCGCAGATTAAACCTAGTTCGGTAGGATTTTAGTTTTTACATTGCCATTCCATGTCACGAAACTCGTAATAGTTGGCCTAACAATAACTTTGAAGATGGTAAAAATATTGCGCGTAACAATACATAATTATATTCACAATTGTTTTCTCAGCATCCACTCGTGGGGCAAATTTTTAAATGGATCGGTAAAAAGAATCTCTTATCGAGTAGCATTGTATAAAATGAATGCCAGGAGTTAGTTAACATGGTGCGGGTTCCACGAGACTGCTCGGAATCTCAGTTCGATGCCCAGCAAATAGGAATCTGCATTTTGAACAGAAACAGAGGCCGTTAACAAGTCTGAGACTGTTAGAAAATACGGCGACAGAAGGGAATGTTCTTAGATGGCGTCTGATGAAAGACTATGAATGCAAAACTTAGTCAGCAAAACTTTCAAGAGTTTAGTCACTAAAAAAGTCGAGATGTCTCATGGAAGGAAGATCAAAAAGAAAGAAATATTAATAGATGTGTAGATGATTAGGGTTGAGACAAAAACAATGATTATGATATTAAGGAACAAGAAAATAATAGTTCGGCTTAGCATTCTCATAAAGGCAATTTTCTAGTCAATAAGACATTTCGTAATTTTATTTTGACTAAATAGTAAATATACGTTAAAAAGGTTTAAAGTTCTCAGGAGGCCTCTTCAAAATTAGGGAGGCATTTTATATTCAGGTAAATACACTTAAGTTTATTTTCCTTTTCTTATCCCCCCCCCCCCTTATTTCTCTCTTCTCATGTCCTCCTGTCCTCCCCTATCCGTTCCTCTCTACCTCTTTCTCTCTTGTACAAAGCTTTGGAACTATGTATGAACAGATCATTTATATAACTAGAATGGTGAGTGGCATAGAAATGAAATGTTGATAGATGACTTTATCTTTGGTGAGCTAGCATTCTGAAATGAGTGCCCCAAAGTGAGGATACTTTTTTTTTTTTTTTTTTTTTTTTTTTTTTTTTTTTTTTTTTTTTTTTTTTTTTTTTAATGAATTCATGGAAACTTGCAAACAAATAATTTTGGAATTTTTCTCAATATGCGAGGGAGCAGCCATGTTCATTCATGTTGCCCTAGTGATTTGTTTACTTTGCAGTAACTCAGTTATTTTATAGTGCCATGACTTCTTTGCAGTGCATGTATGGCAAAGTCTATTTTGTTGCACATGTACTGGAAAGTAACACAGTCAAGTACTTGTTTCCATGCATGAGAGGTGAAAAAAATATTATAAAGAGGTTGTTTGAGTGAAAAGTTTCCATGAAAATTTCACAATATTTTCAGAAGGTAGCTTCAGAAGGGTTGAATTTCACCCCTTTCTGAGGCTATGAGAATTAGCTACAGCATGTGCAAATTATTTATTAATAATAATAGAACAGTGTTTCAATTACAATAGTATCGTGATACATGCTTATCAAGTTATTCAGTTGCAACATTTTGCCTTTAGTAACAAAATTGAGCTATCTTGATAAAATTTTTATCCCAGTTTGAACTTAATACAAGTATTCATAATTATTTTTCTTTTAAAAATACATTTTGTTCTTTAGTATATCTTTACCTATAAAATTATAATGATTGCTTTCAGCTATTTGGGACTTGGTTTGATGGCTGCCCGGAAAGAAATCTTATCAGTTGGCAACCCTGCAGATGCTACTGAACTACACAGTGAATGTATTAACCCAATAATAAAAACAGAATGGGCTTATGGAGGGAAGACCTATAAAGTTCTGTAAGTTTTTGTATGTCTTATTATGTTATGTAAAAGTTGTTTTCTTCTTTTTTCATGTGACTAAATCAACATATTAGATTTTTTGTGTGTGTCAACATTGTATGTTGATGAAAAAATGTAAACTGTGTTATTGTAAAATGACATGAAAATTATCAATGTATCTCCCTTTTATCATAAGGGATCCCAACAGATTTATTTTCGTAAAGATCAGGTAACAAGACTTCCGTGTTTGTTGTTTCAATCTTTATTTAATCACAATAATATCAGGGAATGTTTGTGTTCAAGAGCCCTGGGTAAGGGATTAAATAATAATAAAGGCTGAAATGAAATGAGTGAATAAATGCTCTCTCGTTTATTTCACAGTATTTCTTAACAATAAATGGCTTGTTTCTGAAAGAATGACAATTTGAGTTTCCATAATTTTGATTGATTGTTGAAGTTATAAACAGTTGAACCTCCATTATTTGGTGTTTCATTATCTGGTGTCCATTTGATAATGAAAATCATTAAATGGCTGTTTTTAAAAAAAAGCGAAGTTGGGGATAACTAACTTCTAATCTCATAATGATTTTAATTAATTTAATCAATTGATTCAAGATTGGCTTTCAAATTGATCACATTTGTAACATGAAATAACAGAAATTAGAAAAGAAATCCTACAACCCCCTCCCTCAAAATGATAGTTTTTGTAAATAAAATTGTATGTCTAAATTGAGTATGTGAGTTTCTTAACACATTCAATCCTAAGGTATACGCCACGTGAGTAACTCCTGAGTCCTGGGCATTAAGCTATTATTCAAAATGTTGTAAAGCAAAAACTGTTGTACATATCAGTATGAAATATATAAAATCTTGTAGTATTATCTTTTCTCTTTAAATCTGTGTGTGTTTGATGATCATTTGATTGTAAGATGGTAGTGAGAATGGAATTCAAATAAATATGTGTTGTCAGTTTTATATTTTTGCAGAAAGTATCAAGGTTACAAAATATGGGGGAAACCGCAGTGAATTTTGTGTCAATAATACTGGTGCACCATAATTATATTTTGTTGAAGTTCAGATGTAGATTCATTTGCATATCTATTTATTTATACCTTGAGACATACTATGGTAAAAAAAAGATGAGAAATAATCTAGTCCAGTTGTCTTCATTTACAGGAAATTTTATTTCACTGGTTTTCTCAAACACTTGTAATACAAATTGTTTATCCATTTTACAAGCATTCTGAAGAAAATAAAATCTTTGGATTTGAAAAGACTCCCCAATAGAATCATTCGCATTATTATTATTCTCGATATAATTTTAACTGCTTAAACTAGACAACAGCCGAGGAAAAAATCGACATCCTCATCAGAAGAATCTAGTTCCGATTTATTATTCAAAAACTCTTGAACTTGTAATGTAGAGTCACAATGAATTTTACATCTATGTCTTCTAAACATCTGTATATGTCACTAGCAGCTTGAATACTACTGACAAAGAAAGACATTCTGAACGTAATAGACAGTGCCCAAAAGTATGAATATCCAAACGCTTCCTGGAAAAATTCTAAATACTTGCACAAAATAGAAGCACACATTGCTTGCCCTGTGATCACCTTAATGATCTTAAAAAGTGCATTCTAGGTGCCTACAAACATCTGAAAGATGTTTATTGCCTGTCAGAAACAATAAATGTAGACAGACATATGCCATATGTCCATAGGACACAGCAGTAAAATGAAGATGATGTATCATATACATCCGTAGGAAACAAAGGAGCAAGAAAGTGTTAATATCTACAATGTAAATTATATTATCTATTCTTTTACTTAATTTTTGCTTAAATTTCTTTTCAATTAACACATTCAAACCAACTAAAAAAGTTTTTCATTTTGTAGCGTTTTCGACTTTATGTGCACCTGTTTTCCTGACATTAATCGAGATAAAGTAGATTCTACTGCATTTAATTTAGAGTAAACTGAAATGATTTATTTCAACATTATATAAAATTGTGTATCCCTTTCAGATTTTTCTCAACAGCTTGTAAACATCTACCTGTTTCTGTGTCAATGTTGTTATATATTTTTCAATTTTTGTATTTGTTTTAGGGGTTCAAAAAATCCTTTGTACCTCGAGATCAAAGGAAATGCTAATCGTATTCCTGAAAAGAAACCTGTTGTGAGATTTGAAGAGTGTGCCAAGATAATCAGAAACTATGTTAGTAATAAAGTGGATAAACCTAAAGAACTTAATGAGAAAGAAATTAATGCTTTTTCCTACTATTTTGATAGAGCAACAGAATATGGTCTTATAGGTACGTATTGCTTCTCTTGGTATTAGAAAAGAGCATTAGATATAGGAAAAGATTCTTCAAACCAGCGACTTAAAACACAACCATAATGCCACAGATATGGTCAACCTTTTTTTCGACAGCTGGTTACGGTTCTAACCACTGCTTGAGAGGACAGTATCCAATGAACTGTCTTTGGACAGCCAAGTACTGAAGTAGCAGGCAATTTCATTTTTGGGAGTTAACTTCACTTCTTTCCTCACACTGTTATCCGTGTGCAACACACACCACTTTTGAATGACTCATGATGAATATGAGTGGGCAAGTTCCTAAGTTAATATGCATTGCTTATCCCAGTTTATCAGCAACAGAAATTGAAAGGCCTTCCAAGAGAAAACACAGGCTGATTTACATGTTTTACATTGAAAGAAGCTAAAAAAGAGTAGTGCCATCTTGAGGCATGAGTCACAGGGTTCTGCAAAAAAAATTTTTTCAGGGGGTTTTGATAGGGTTTTCCTTTGTCCATGTGTTCCTCTGTGCATGGCCTTTAATGCTGTTTAGATTGCCTTGAGTGAGAGAAGGATTACTGAAATATGTTCTCCCTTCACTATAAGAACCTCAAATTACAGAGATTCAGGTTATAGTATTATATTCAGATTAAAGTATTGCAATGGAAATATTCTTTTTGAAATATTTTTATAATTAGTGTGAAGTTAACGTTCACTGATGTTGATTTGCAGATCCATTTAAAGGGGGTGTTGTGAAAATAAAGCAGTTTCATGATGCTGCTGTTGCCAGTAAGTATTCAATTTTTAAAACTTGTTATTTATAATCACCCTACAAAGGTCAAATATTTCTGAGTTAAATTGTGTTTTTATTTTTGCAGCATGTGCAACACCAAACACTGAACAACCCTTTATGTGCCTCGATTTAACATTCATATCAGTACTACTCCAGGATGGATTTGGACTTAATCCACAGACATCTTTAAATGTATGTTTCTACATAATATAATTTTTTTCACACTTTTGGGGGGGGGGTCAATTTTATGGACATGCATATAATTCAAGTTAAAGGAATCTTTCTCTTACTCTAGAGACTGTACAATAATGCTATGAAGAACCTTATTATTTTGTAGGAGTTTTTCAGTTCCACAAAAGTATATATCACCACTGTGATCGTGAAGCAAGGGGGAATTCTGTAGCTCTTTTTAGGAAACTTATTTATTTGGCTAAAGAGTGTAGTGTCTGTAATTATAGGGCATTATTGGTCAAGTGCTTTTTGATGCAGTCTTGTTGAGAAGGGAAACATAAAATTTGTTCCTTAAAATATATTTAGTCGTATCATAATAGAAACTTTCTTTCCTGTATGGTTGTTTTTTTTACCCTAGGGGTAACCTACAAAAAATAAAGGGAAGAAATTAATAATTAATAAAAGATGTATAAATGCAGTGCTTTTTCAAAAACCCAACCACTTATTGAAAGATTGGCACCCACTATACAAAATCAAGAAAACCGCCCATTTACTTGATGTTACTGATATTTCCCCTCACTAACCCCCAACCCCAAAATTCTAATCGCCCATCTTCTATGTTCAAATTCACTCCAACTACCTAACTACATGCTACGAAAACTACCAAATTGGATACCAGTGTCATGCCAGTAGCACCCCATTTTGTAGCAAGCCTGTCAGTTTTTAATTTTTTATTGCTTATGAAGTTTTACTATTTGAAACATCTTTTCTAACAGCAAATTCTTAAACAATAACTAGTAATAATAAGCCCCCCCCCCCTCCAAGATACTGTTGTAGGAAATGATGATGCTTCATAACGTAGAAAATTATGTTTTGGATTACATTTACTGAGTATTAGCAGAAATTTAATTTGTCTGCTTCTTTTTTTGCAGCTTTTCAAGAAAATTGATGGCCATGAAATCAGTTGGGCCCTTGGGGCCGCTTTTCACATCCTTCAAAATGGTCTGTAGTTGTTCTGCACCACCCATCACATCAGCAGCCAACACACCTTGCATAGTGCCTTACGCCACGCTCCCTCGTTTTGCTATAGTCTGATAGTTGTAGCTCAGGGTATGAAGTTTACATGGAATTCATCGTAAGCCAAAGTTGTCTCTTTTCTTTTGAAGTAGCTGATTGGTACAAAAGGAAATAATGTGCATTTGAATCTATCTTTGAGCCACACTTGAGAAAATGTCTTAAGAGAGCTACTCAGATATGTCTTGTTAAATAAGCGAGTGCGCCTGAATAATTTGTAGAGATTGTTTGTTGAGTGTTGTAGAGTTTGCTATTTGTTAGCATGCCTGAATAGGGATGGCCAACCTTTAAATTCTCCTACACATCCATTGCAATATCTAGGAAAGCAATACTTTCCAAAATATTTGCAATGTTATATACACATGAAAATACACTGAACATGAAGTTCCAGTAATCTAAACCAAATTTGACAAGGACTCCAAGGCCACACCAGTTTTTGGATACATGCCTTCTACTTTGCTTACTGAAATTGCTTAAATCATTGCTTTGCCCATGCCTTTGTAGCTGATTAACTGCTGGAGGTGAGGAAAAAGTCAGGTGGTGCCACCTGAGCAATTCAAATGTTGCCCCCTTCTCTTCCATCTCAATTGAATATAAAAATATGTTCTAGAATATTCTATAAATGGTTTTATTAAAAATAAAATGGAATTATTTTTCTCTTAGGCGGTTAAAGAAAATACCAATGACCAATTGATTTTAACAGTACTAAAATTTAAGATTGAAATTTATTTCTGTTAAAGATGTTACCTTACCATTATAATAACTTAAAACAATGATAAATTTCTTAAACAAATTTTTGATCTTTTTGATGATTTTGCACTCTTGCAATTTAACTCTCTCAGCATAGGCATGCACTTTCTATAACGGGGGGGCTTAAATTTTGGACCTCTCTGGGTCCCATTTTCCATTAAATTTTTTTAATGGAAACACTTTTATAATTTTAATCTAAAACTTCAATTGGTATCTCTTGGGATTGATGACCAGATGGACCATGCCCCATTAACTATGCCACTGATTTATGAGCGTTTTCATACGTTACTGGTGGTGTTCTGTGCGTGGAATTTATTTTACTAAAAGTTCCTTAATTATCAAAAATTCTCAGTATCTGTGAAACAAACTAAATTGTTGCCATCCCTATGCCTCATACAAGTGTTGTACACAAATTATTACTTGATACACATTATGTGAATGTCTTCAAGACATATTTGAGTACATTTCCAAAAGTTTTGATGTATTGAATTTTTAATCCTGTTAATTTCACCATTTCGGTTTCTGATTCCCATTGGTTTTTAGAGTGAGGTTATAAAATTATTTTGACTTTGAAACATAGACAGACTTTTCTGAAGAAATGTTTTGAAAAACTTACTTAATAGAATAATTTGTTCAGAAAACAGTCTCTGTCATAAAATTTTTGGATTGTGTTATGAAACTCTTCAAGTTGAGGTTCACAGCAGTGAAAAAAACTAATTTGTACTTTATGAGGTCGTTCACATTTCACCTTATGAGAACCTCTAATAAAAATGGAATTTACTAGTGGAAATCTTACACTAGAAGATTATAAAGATAAAATTGCAATGATTGAAGAGTTTCCAACAAAATTGAACCACTCATAAAACCATGAAATCTATGACCGTCAGCCATTGCACGTTTGGATTGTGAAGTTATTTATAAGATTCTTCACAGCAATAACTAATTGTAATGAGACTTGCTATACTATTCTATTTATGAGTGAAGCCATATTTTTTATGACTTTACTTGATATTTCAATCATGTTGAAACGTTAAATATACAATCATCGAAAGCAGAATGCTTCCCGATAATGGCAAAATGTTTGAAAAAATGCTGTAGATATGTGAAAAAATATATTGTTATTATTTTATTAAATAGGTTTGTGTAGTTTTATGAATATTTAATTAAAATGCTGACATCACATAAGTTTCTAGTACATACTCTTGTAATAATTTAAAAAGATTTGCTGCATTGAATGCTCATGCTCTTGTTGAAATTAATTTGAGTTTTTCTGCAGAATCAAATAGTTTAATGCAATATCTTGTGTGTGTATGTATTTGTGCGTGTGTGTGTGTGTGTGTGGGGGGAAAGGGTCTCTCTCTTCTTTCCATAGTCTGCATAGGAATTATTGACTGCAATTAAGGTTATCAGGAAGTCTTGAGGGTCAGTAATATATCTGTAAGTTACATCTTTGTTATGAAGTGGAGATGAGTGATTCCCTTAGTTAATGCTAAAGCAATGCCTTTTGAAATAATCTTTTTTCTCAGAGTACTGTAGTTTGGCAAGGAAATGCTAAATAGTTGCACTTTTAATGGTTTAGCCTGCAGGAAAAAATTGTAAATAGAATAATTTATTTTAAGCTACACACAATTCATAATGACTACTTGACCCAATCTTTTTATTTCAATTGTGTCAATAAGAAAAATATTTTGTAACAAAGATGTCAATTCCAGCAGAATTTTTCAGTGTTACTTTACATACTCTTAGCAGTCTAATTTACAACTGCAAATAAGAGTACGAAAAACCATTTGCCATGACCAATTTTATCTGTACCTATTGAGAATATTCCCCTTGGCTTCGCCAACGTAAAAAAAACAAAAACTGGTAACATAGAAATTGAATTAATAGTGATCACTTTTATCCATTATGGTATTGATGATGGCCAAGATGTTGAAAAGTTTAATTATAGGTAAGATTGAAAATGACGAAAATTGTGTTTCACTGGCACATCAACATTTAATTATAAAACTTTGGTGCAGAGTTTCAGAATTAGCTTCTTTAAAATTCATCTTGTTGACATAAACAAATTACTGAATAATTTTGTTGTGGAAAAAGTTGATAGGGACATCTTATTCTTTTAATATCCTCTTGTTATTATCTGTTGAAAAAGGTGAATTTTTAGTGAATATTCTAACTCATGGTCAAGGCTTTTTCAGAAATATGCAGAAGTGACCAATAACTTGATGAGATTTTCTGTGTTATATAATTAATTTTTATATACTTCTACTTTATAATATATATGAATATTTTAGATAGAAAAGATTAACATTTCAAATCATAACTATTTGAGATTTTAGTTTCTTCAAGGTTAGACCTTATGATTTCTAGCAGCTATTTTTTCTAAAATTCAGTTTTTACTAAATTTACTTGAACTTGTGTGGTTTAAAATTTTAAATTCAGTTGTCCTTTCCTCTGTTCGTGGAGATAAACTGCAGATGAAGGATCTTGATTTTGATACCTTATCTATCACACTTGTTTTGAGGATTATAATTTTGGAACAAGCAGCATTTTCCATTTTGCTGTTATTTAGAATGTTAGTTTTATCTGTGTGGTTGTGATTTTTCAAAAAGGTGAAACTTGAATGTTTTGACTTTGGTGCTTGCCGAGAAGTTACAATAAGTAGATTCTCCTTTTGTGATGCATATTTGCAGTGAATTGTTGGGAGACATTTTATCGCTGAGTTTAGAATAAATGCCAATTTTTCCTACTACTAATTTTATCTGTTTCTTATGAAAATGTATAACTGCAAATTCTAGCCATTGCTCAAACCAGTTCATCTTTCTCTGCTGCTAATATTTTTATGGAGAATATGTACATAACATATCGCTAATAACTTTATACAAAACAAATTTTTTAAAACTTGATGCAAATTGTTAATGATGTTAACGGCTAGTAGAAACCATTTTTTACAATCTATCAGATTAAGAAGCATCTTTCATTGTTAATTTCACATATCTGATGTTGATGTATTTATCTTTCAGTAAGTTATGAAATTACCTTTACAAGGGAATTCACAAAATCTAATACTTTATCTCGCTATGTAAGAATACAAGTTGTTTTCTCAGGTTATTGAATAAGTGGAAAGAGTGACCAAGTAAAACATCAAATCAGAAGAATGAGTGATTTTAACTTATTCATACATTTTAATCTAACACCAACTGAAAATGTTTTCTTGAGCTAGTCACTGGGTTGATAATATCACTTGCTTCTTGATTATGAACTTGTTAAATCTATGGTAAATCATGAAGCCTGGTCATAGTTTTGACCATTAAGTATTAATGTTTTATGATAAACTGCAAAAGCTCTCACATGAAAGTGATTTGATTCTTAACATAATTTTATGATACAATTTTCATTTTTAATGATTGTTCATAAATTCATTTTCTTTACATTAAGGAACCTTTAGATCTAAATGTAAAGCATACCCTAATAATTGCTATTATTACCTTACTGGAGGGAAAGGGGACGTGAATTACTGCCATCTGATGTCACTATCAGTTCAAGAAGTCCATTTCACTTTAGAGAGTCAATCATCAACAAGCTTTTTAGTTTTCAAGTTCCTCTGCACACAAAACAATTGTATTTGAACATTGCTCAGTGGTTCTGCACCCTATATTTTTACTGGCTCATTTACTATAATTGCCTTCATTTTATCATCAAACTGCATTATTAATTTGATGCAGTAAGAGAAATTTAAAGATCATAATAATAAATATATTGCAGTATTAATGCCATATTACGTATTAACACGTGAATATTCGGTGATCTAAAGCTTGCAAACAGGTGTCATCAATTCAAATTCAGTTTCATGGGAGAAACGTATAAAACATTAATAAAATGCTGCTTCTGTCAAATGAGAGTTTCACCCAATGGCTAGTGTAAATTACGATCGTTCTTTCTGTTCTAACAATGAACAGTCTTCCCATTGCTAAATAGTATTGAAGTCAATAGATTTCATAGATCTCCATTCCTCTTTTACCAAACTAGTTCCTATTATTAATTTTCTACTATTTAATGAGTGCTGTTGTCATGAAATTCTCATTGGTTTCTTTTTATTTCAAATAATGTTCACATCATATATTAAAGATGCATTTTTGTTATGAATATATCTTTTTCAGCTGTTAAAAGAAGCTGTGAATTATTGTTATTGAAAGAGGTTTCATTGGAAATTGAGAAGATATGTAAACAGTATTATAGAGAAAAAAAAATTAGGTACATTTCAGTACTTACCCTACAGTTTGTGATAAAACTTTTGAAGATTCTTGCAACCCTCTGGTTGCATTACCTTCAGAATATTTCTTTGGAATGTGTTAAATATTCATGTTAATACTATTTTCAATAAAGTATTTTGAATCATTTCTAGTTATTTTTGTGAAACCACTCTAATCATTTTCCTCAAATCATAAGTATCTTTGTAATTCACTAAGAAAAATTAAACAGTTATCGATGCTACGGAGAGCAGTTTATGTATTCGTATATCTATACATTGAGAATTCTAGTTGTAGAATTAAGTAAAGTAAAAGTGCAAGAAAGCAAAAATAAAATTATTATTGACATTTCCAATAGAAAATTATGATAGCCTCATGGCCCGTAGTTGGAGTGAAACCAGTATATATTTCATTAATTTTGAGCAGAAATTACGCAAACTTCTCGTTTTTCAAAAAATTGTACATGACCTTTTTGAAGAGCTAATTTTGTATAACAGACTTTGTCTGAGGTAAAAATCTCTATCATCAATTTTGTAGTTTTGAAAAGTTTTTTGCAATTGAATACCTCCAAGCAAGAAGATTGTAACCCACATATTAAAAACTGCACACAGTACGGTGCTAAATGGATTGTATCTCTGTTAGAGAGGGTCCTTACCAAGAGAATGTTGGCTAACTAAACTTAACGATAATTACTAAACGATTTTAATTTTAAGAAACAAACAACTGTCATTGATATTGGGTTGCAATACGTTTTACGGAAACTGCTAAAGCAAATGGGTTTTGCTTGTTACAACCTTTTTGCCCGGAGGCATTCAATTTTTTTGAAAAAGAAATGAGCAATACGAAGCAAACGAGAAATTGAGATTAGCGCTGTATTCCTTATAACATATGTGGACACAATTTAAAGGAAAAATTTGGAACAGTTTTTGAGGGAAAACCATTGTAAATTTTAATCGCAATATACGCAAAAACTATTCGTTTTTTCAAAAAATTGTACATGACCTTTTTTGAAGAGCTAATTTTGTAAAACAGGCTTCGTTTCAGGCAAAAATCTCTATCTTCATTGTAGTTTTAATTTTTTTTTCATTGAAAAAAAAAAAAAGAGTAATACCCGAAAATATGACTAGCACCTTAGTTTTGAATGGTCTCTTATTTCACAAGTGAACAAAATGTAAAGAAAAAATTTGGAGCGGCTTATGAGAATTATTTTAAAACTTTAAATCGCAAAATACGCAAAGATTACTCGCAAATTACGCAACAGACTTTGTCGGAGACAAACATATTTATCTCCAATTTTTAAATTTAATTTATTTTTCAAAAAATCGGGGATGTCAACGAAAATGAGATATGCACCATTCTCTTAGACGCATATTCAACGACATAATTTAATCAAAAAATTTGAAGCCATATTTTTTGAAAATGTCCCAGGGTTCATATAAAGAACCCCTGAAATTAAAATATCAGTTTCAAATTACAGGGTCCGCGACATCAGCGAAAACGGTTGGGGAATATCAAGAATATCAATTTTGGAGAATATCAGCTGAACAGTTTATGCGCTAGCGTTGTGAACAGATGGACTGACGGACAGACAGACAGGCGGTTTGCCGGCAATCGAATTTTCGGCATTGACGCATAAAACATGGATTCTGGGTACACCACGTGTTAAGAGGACTTTTTTCTATATTGAGCAAGTGGATTTATCCCCCTTTTCCTAATCAGGGCCGGGCAAGAAGATTTTTTTGTGTCGAAAATTCCCTGTTTTCCGGCGCACGATTTCAATTCTTTCTCTTCTTACGTTAGTAAGAGTAAGAAAGTAAAATAATACATTTTTGTAATTTGTAAAATTATATTTATATATCGCACCCCTAATGCACAGACCACAACTCAAAAATCATTCAATTTGCAGGAGATCCTTCGGAAGTTTTCTCGAGGTCATATAACAAAAGGAATTGAATTTAAATTGAATTGGTATTGCTTCGCTATTTATAAAACTAAAGAAATGGCATTGCTGCATGTCATGTAATGGAAAAGGAGGAATCTATCAATGGGTGGATCTCAATTTTCAATTTTTTGGATGATAATGATTAAGGTTTAAGGGCGCTTCAACTGTTGAGGTCATTGGCGCCCGTGTCAAATTGTTGTAAGAGCAATACGTACTGTAGCAGTGCCAGACTAAAACAATTTTTAATGCAAGGTAAAATGTGGGTAAAACAGAATAATCGTGTTCAATTATTTAAAATAGGGGTTGGCAGAAAAGAGCCAGGTAAACACTTTAAGATCTTCAATTGAAAGCCAAATAATTGGCATAATACTCTTCTCTCAGATAATGCTGTAAATGTCACTCATAAGGAGCTAAAAAGCTCGCAGAGAGAAGATTCGTCATTCCCAAGTACCTGTGCTAGAGGCTAGGTGAAGCCTTCGACAGCTATCTTACCTGAGAACAGTGCATGAGAACGTGTTCCACGGTCAGATCCGCCTCGCAACTCTCGCAAGTAGGGGTGGGTCACCGCGGAGAAGATGTCCATGGGAGAAATGGAAGTGACCTATCTGAAGGCGCGTCACAATTATCTCCTCGCGCCTTGCCCCACGAGATGAAGACCAAGGCGTCATGGGATCCTTGATTCCCGTGAGTTTAAAATCTCAGTTCTGCCACTCTGCCATGCCTTGAGAATACGACGTTTGATAAACAGCTTGGTATCATTTGTTGGGACTGTGAGGATGTCTACCACAGTTTTCTTTGTGGCGAGCTTTGCTGCCTGGTCAGCGCTTCGTTGTCAATTGTCCTGTGACCAGGGGTCCAACAATAAACCAAATAATAGCAACGCACCAGTAAATTATGAATTTGGTGTTGGATGATCATTGTCAGAATGTCACAAGAAGAGAAGCAGGAGGTAGGAAGCAAGCTTTTTGAATCACTGCAGATCACAGCTTCTTTTAATGTCATCAATTATTATTCTGTAGTATAAGCGCTGCACGAAGAGTCTAGTCGAAGACTCCGCGTGGCACTTTGGCAGTAGAAGGCGCACCTTACATTACCATTTTGGGAGGAACTATCAGAGAAGTCATAGCCGGGGTACATGAATTTCGTCTCCTGGAATTCCGCAATTCCTCCAGAAATACGGGGGGTACGGGGGTTGAGGAGTTGCGATAATGGAAAGTGTGATAAAATCAAATCTATTTTAGGCCGGAGAAGCTTCCAAGGGGGAACACGACTTCGGGGGGGGGGGTCATAGTGATGGGGAGGTTTATATCGAGTTTCTACAAGATCGTGTAGAGACGAATACCGGGAGAATGGGATAACGATGGTCTGAGTGCGTTCGATGTCCTGTGACTGGGGTGAAGAACTGTTTGGCACGGAGGAGTGTTTATAGCTGATATGACAGGAACCGATTACAATATCTCGCCTTCGGCTCGGGGATGATTCACCGGCCTCGTCCAAGAGACATTCACTGCGATTCGTCCGGTAGACGCCTGGGCTGATCATTGTGTACGGCATTCAATGACCGGAGGGTCGATGGAGACGCTGACCCATACATAACACACCCATAATCTAAGATAGGACGGATGATAGTCCTTTATAGGCGCAAAAGACATACTCGGTCTGCGCCCCATGACCTGCCAGAAAGGGTGCGAAGGAGGTTCAAGGGCGCTACACAGCGGCTCTTCTGCTGTCGGCTCTGTCGCCATGTTAGTCTCTTGTCGAGTGTCAGGCCAAAGAAAATGGCAGATTCGACGAAGGGAAACTGATGACCCCCCCAAAAAGATCAGGATGATTATGAGGTGATGCATTCTACAGAAGTGCATGCAAGTGGATTTTGAGGTGGAGAACTTGAATCCAGTTGTATTGCTTCATTCCTGCTGTCTAATGAGGACGAGCTGTAACTACCTCTTAATAACTTGCATGCTTTTCGAGGAACAGAATATGGCAAAGTAATCAACGAACAGCGATGCTTTCTCGGGCTCTCGAATTACTGATGTGATACAATTGATAGCGATGGCAAACAGAGAGACACTCCGAATTGATCCCTCGAGAACACCGTTTTCTAACTGGTGAGGAGGATAACGTGTCCCCAAGGCGGAGGTGGAAAGACCTTGACGAAAGAAAATCTATTAGAAACGAAGGGAGTCGTCCCCTAAGACCCCAAGAATGCAAGGTGTGAGAATGCCGTGCATCCAGGTGGTGTCATATGCTTTCTCTCTGTCGAAAAAAATTGCTACCAGGTGTTGTCGTAGCACGAGAGAAGCGGAGATCTGAGTGGCGAGGGAGACTAAGTGGTCCATGGTTGACCTGCGCTTCCTGAGACCAAATTGAAAAGGTGAAAAATTGATTCCTTTGCTTCAAGAGTCAAACCAAACGTTTGTTTACCATTCGCCCTAAGAGCGGTATTGGGCGGTAACTTGAAGAGATTGTTCTGACCTTTCCTTCTTTAGGGATTGGAGTAACAATGACGAAGCCAAATCCTTGGTAATATTTGTTCATCCCAAATCAGGTTGAAAAAGCAGAGAAAAGAACAGACATTTTCCGGTAGGTGTTAAAACATTGTATTATGTATCTGGTCTGGTCCTGGAGCAGAATGTTTTGCACATGTGAGGGCACAGGAAAATTCATTCATAGAGAAAGGAGTATTATAACCCTCCTTCATGCAACTCGAGAAATCTAGAGTGCAGTTCTCCGTACTTCTTTTGGTCTTCAGAATGCTAGGATAGTAGAGAACGGAAATGGATACTACTGAGAGGTCCATTCTTCAACTAAGTCTTCTGGTGATGTGAGATTATTTTCATTTACTAGAAGCCCTGAGACAGACGGCGAAGGAGGTATTCCATGGATCTGTCGAACTTTTCACCACACCTCTTTAAGGGGCGTACGGCAAGAGAGTGATGAAACATAAGCTCTCTTGGACGCGGCCTAACTTTCCCGTATGATCAGTTTAGCTCTGGCTCGAGATCTTTTCTAATTAATCATATTATCCGTGGTTGTGAACCTACAAAGCTTTGCCAATGCCCGTTTCCGAACACGTACCGCGGTGGCACAGTCGGCATTCCACCATGGCAAGGGAGGATGTTGGGGGTGACCCGACGACTGCGGAGTGTCAATTAAGGCCGCATGAAGAATGCAATCACTAAAATGGACAACCATAGCATCGATATCGGTTGAGAAATTTCCGATATCACTATTTCTTTCTCGAATGTTTCCCACTCAGCTCGATGGATTAGCCAGCGAGGACGAGCAACGTTTAGGTTGGGAATATCGAAATTGATCAGAATTGAATTGATCATTGGTCACTGCCATGCAGGACGCCAAGGACAGTCCACTCAAAAAGTGGTAAAGAGAGAGATGGACTTCAGAAAGCCAGATTGACGGACGAGACAGTGTTTGAGACCACGGAAAAGTGTGTGCTTTAGCCAGTGTTAAGAAGCATCAAGTTCTCGTTGTCAATAATATTTTCAAGTACTTTGCCTCTCGAGCAGGTCCTTTGCGGGATTGTGGGCATTTAAGTTCCCCACAATTAGAAAAGGAGCGGGCAACTGAGAAAACATCTTCAAGGTCTTGTTGTGACCCGACTTGGTCAGGAGGAATGTATATATTGCACACCGTTAGACAAAAGGACGTCCGAACGCACAGTTTGACAGTCGGTTCGAACGTTTTGTTTCTCAGAGAACAGGGAGTTACGGATAAGTACCGCGACACCACCGTGAGCACGGAGTCCGTCATCTTGATCAAACCGATAGATATTAAACACGCGAAGACGAGATGATGGGAAAGGTGAGTGTCCTGAAGGCTGACTATAGATGGTCTATGGCGAGATATTAACAATCTTAATTCTTCTGAATGGCCACGAAAGCCGTTTAGATTCCACGAGAGAGCCATTGTAGGGGAATTCCTTCTTTGGCTTTTTCCTTTCTCGCATTCTGAAAAGTTTTAGACGAACTCTCGTGATGCTCCTCGTCAACAGCAGCGTCATCCGGGCTGCTGTTGGAGATGGTTGCCTGTGTTAGGGGGCTTTCCCGTTCTTTGTGTGTGTGTGTGTGTTTTTTGCCACAGGTGACCGAGATCTACACGGGCTGGATGATCGCTCAATGCGAGTCTTCGGAAGAAGCAGAAGTTCAAAGTAGGTACAAAGGAGTAGAAAGCAGTACAAAGTACTTCCCAATGCTCGGTTTTAAGATCGTTCGAAGAGACAACATGAGTCTTCCGTATAATTCCGTTGAACCTTTCATTTTGTCCTTTTCTTCTTGGATTGTAGGGTGGATATCGGCTTGTTACAATATTCTGAGAAGTTAAAAACCATTTAGTTTCTTGAGATAAAAATGACATTTCATCAAGACAATGCACGAGACATATACGGCAGAGACAGACAGCACTGGAGGCGGCGGACATGCTTTCGCCTTGTCAGGCTTTTGTCAGACCGAGAAAGGAAGCTGCATCAACAAAAAAAGTCGGTGGCTTCCAAGGGATAGATCTGAGTGGTTGTGGAGCTGATATATCGTGCAGAATTGGGTGCACATGGATTTTGAGGCGGAGCAATTAAATCCAGTTTTTGCGCTTCATTCAGTGTATTCAGGACAAGTTATAGCTGACTTTGAATGACTTCGTACCCTTGGATGAGTAGAACACTGCAAAAATCAACAACAAGCGAGGACTGTACAGGCGACGGACGCTATGTCGTCGATTGCAATAGCAAACAGTGGAAGGCTGAAAATTGACCCTTGCGGAACTCCGTTTTTCAAAGAAAGTCTTAATGTATTTGTATAAAGCGTATTCGCAGTTAAATCGTTTAAATTTTGGAGCTTACACAAGCACATTTATTCATAAAACAAAGTACAGGCTCATCTAGCAACGGAACTCAAGTAAAACAAAATACAAGCAATCACACAGTTCCTCTCTCTCATACCGCAAATGAACCTCATTCACATGTCTCCAAACGCACATCTCTTCTTGGGCTAGTAAATGAAGAGGACCCAATATTTTAGTTGCAGTGCCGGCTCTCCATTTGTTCGACGGATGTCGATAATCCAGCAACCAGGATAGCTTGTCATCTTCAGGTTTCCGCAAGCAAACTCGACTTCTGTAACTGATTGTTCCACCAAATCCTATCGAGTACGAATTGTGTGTCCGAGCAGTAATTCAGATGATGTACGACCCGTTGTAGTTTGTAGCAGGACGGTAGATGAGCAGAAAATGAACGTTTGCTCGCTAATTCTGAGGACGGAAAAAGGATTTCATTCCTTTTGCACCAACGGTCGAACCGCTCCACCAGCCATCCTTGCAGGCAATACGGCGTAGTAAAACGTTGAAGAAGACGCAATGCTCTCAGAACGATTTAAATTCTTGTACCATAAATTGAGGGCCATTGTCACACACAAGCGAATCTCTTGTTTGTAGTGGTTTTGTTAAGATTCACAGAGAATTTTATCGAAAAACGTTGCTCCAAATGACGCAGCATATTCGTCTCTCCGAGTTTTCGACAGATGTCAATGACACGCACTCACGCCACTAGCGATCTGCTCACTCCAGTATCTCGGATACAATGCCGCAGGTGCAGTCGGTTAGCCGACACCATTCACTACTTTATCCTGTCGGTGAAAACTGTCTACACGCCCTCCCATACTTAAGAAAAAACGTCTTGAAACTTTGTGACCACATCTTGTACTACCAAGAGATTGTAAAAGACACATGCTATTCTCCGGCTGAAATGGACGATCAAAATTGAATATCAGCGTTGAGGTAAGGGTGAGTACTCATTCACTCTCGTTTGGATCCTGCAGATATTAGTGACCCCTTCCACCAGGAAGAAAGCTTCCGTTTCAGATGAGACGTCCTCGTGGTTCATTACACCCCTGCAGATGTTTAAAGTCGAATGCGGCCCGTTCACCACGAGACCTGCTCATTCTTTTGATTCCGAGAGTTTTCTTATTTGATCGTCAGTGCGGAATTCAAAGAGGAGTGTGCCATTCCCCTGGCGAACCACGGCCTGAAACTTCTCACTCTCTCTAGCAAGTTTAATGGCACGGACACTGTTTTTCCCTCATCACTGCAGGACATAAGGAAACGGAGACTTGTCGGTCTATCAGAATCTTTGCAAAAGAAAAAAAAAAACTTTCCAGGTCGACAATTTTACCAACATATCTCTTCCTTACGGAAGAAGGCGGGGAGAGGACGGTTTGGTATTCAGAGAGGATATCAAATTCGTCCCCACACATCACGGTGTCCAACTAGGGGACAATCCGTCGGATTGCCACGGGGATATAGCAAGCAGAGGCATGACTTTATCACCGCACGCTCGCAAGGGTCACCACGACACCCCCCTTCACTTGGAGTACAAGAGCTAGTACGCCTTCCTTCGGAGGGGACGTAAAGCAGGCTGTCCCATGTTAGTATATTTACTTGCATGTAAAAGATCCTCAAGCCTAAATGACGGCTCTGAGCTAAATTCAAATTGCCTGTTTCTCGCCCAAGAAATACCTCCTTTCTCTGCTAGTTGATGAAAGGAGCGTAGCGAAATTTGTGTGGTCAGGCGGAAGAGCGGGCCTGATGGTCCGAGTCTCGCTACGTAAAATAAGGCAAATTCAATTCAATTCAATTCAATACGTGCCGCCTGATCGGGACTGGGTTAGCTCCCGACTACTGGTCTGGAAGAGGCCGAGAGCAAAGAACGTTTATCGAGACCTACAAGGAATATTCCCCGAAGTGCGTAAATAATGTATCTCTAAGTGCCAAGCTACAACGTATCACAAGGGGCACCCACTCCCTCCGACACGCATCGCCTGCACGGAACAAACATGGGTGGACGCTTAGCATACGGGGGAGTGAAATAGGTGAAGATGGAATGCGACATGATGTTATAAAAGAACGGGAATGAACGATGGGGGAAGAGACGATTGGTGAAAGAAAGTAATACTTGATATTCCTCCGGGAATCCCCAAATCAGCACCGACCCAGCTCGAAGAGCCGAAACTTTAGCAGTTATCTCTTTTATCATCGGAAGAGGATAAGCATCTAACATGGTAAATTTGTCTTTAGTATGTTCATAATGAATAAACTGTTCTTGTTTTACAATTTCCGACCCTTACAATAACAGCTTCACCGCGCCATGGTGAATTACTGGCTTCAATTATTACTTCACCTAATAGCGGTTTAACATGAGAATCTACAAACTGGTTATTCTCTTTGGAATGTCTCCAAGATTTGGTAGCTTTTGGAGCACAATTGTAAGTGTTGTTAGCAAAAAGAGAAACGGGAGATATCTGAGAAACAGCCGAGCAGCAGATTTCAAGACGAGGCTGCGGACCTTGAAAAGCTATTGTCACAGAGGACTAAAACTAGCATGTCATGGTCGATTATAGCATCTGAGCAAAGGTTCTTCATTGTCAGTACTGGCGTATTGTTGTAAATAAATCCTTCTATTATATACCGGCTATACAGCGTCACATTATTTCAGAAGCTGAGAAAGAATATACCATTGCAATTCTGCCAGAATATGATAGCAACTGGATGCGACATTTCCTTACAAAAATGACTGATCAAACTTTTTGGTATCCGTCATCTGTTAATGGATTCAACTTCATTCCATTTACTTTGATCTCCACAACTTATCTTTGAAGACCGTTTGACAGTGCAGACGAGACGGTGGCTAACATTCCAGCAAGCGCGGTCGTATTTGATTGCTGGTTGGACGAATCGACATATACGCACGTTCATAATATTCTTTCATACAGCATGACCTAAATTCAGCGGCTTTAGCAGGGAACGACGATCTAGTATGGCGGATACCTCCACAAAAATATCACTTCTAAATTGTTTGTCAAACCAGCCGCAGTGGCATTAGCTGTCTCCAAATCTGGGTCATCGACGTCATTAATAGTCGAGGCAATGGTATTGGTATCAGAATAAGATGCTGAATGTTGTTAAGCCATTTCCAAAGCTCGCACATGAACGAAAGCAGCGACCACAGCGTTGGTTCAAGCTACCTTTGTCAAATCCGAGAACAAACCAACCCACCGTGAATGCATTTCTAATATACTCATTCTTGTTTTGTTCAGCAGAGATGTGTTCAAAGTTGTATTCCCTGCTCATTACCTTCAAGAAATTGAGATATTGAACTATAGTCTCTCTCTCATGTCTAGTTGCCAAGCAGTGTCTAGAATAAATTTTATTTCTAAGTTTCTTGTACTTTCTTGTGTCCACTGCATCTTTAGATTTACAAATATACTGAAACATATTGGTGGTTTGCAGAATAACGGCATTAAGGCGAGGGGAACTCTGATGCTGAGACTGGTATACAATGAATTTAAAAGTTCCTCTCAGAAACACATCGTTCTTAAGTTCACGTTTTTCTTCGAGGCATTTCCATTTCCACAACATTAGTTACCATTATTTAACCTTACAAATAAAGAACATGTTTACCAACCTATTTGTAAAAGAAGTCGGCACCCCTATCCTTTCTGGTAGTAAAGTTTGTGATAACTCATTTAAATCTGCTATTTGGGTAAAGAAGTGACGCTCGATAGAAAGCATGACAAGGACTGACACACTACTTCTGCCATTGTATGGCACAGGTATGTAACTACCGTGCCCAACGAAAATATAATCTACCTCCGTCTCGTCGGCCACAGCAAGAGACGCATTGCCAACTTCCAAGACCACCAAGTGCGAGATCCATTCATGGTGAAGCATTTCGATTACATGCTTTTGCATATTTCTTTGTACAAAATAACAAGTATAATGTAGAAATTAGGTTTGTGGAAACTTACAAGAAAACTAAAATACAATTCTCATGTGATATAATATGATCACATTTAGTAGTCAGCAGAAAAGATACAGAGACCCCTGGCGAAGATGTTTCAATTACTAACTCGCTATCTGTCGAGCACATTGAGAACTTTGTCGCAGCAACTCTCCGGTTACGGTTGACAAACAACAAAGCGACCATCCAGAGTTGAGAGCCACTAAAATACAGTTTTTGTTAAAGTTACTTTAAAGAAAACTTCAATATATCATTCGGACGACCGCAAGTTGATGTTTGCAGTCAATATGAGAATTTGAAATCCAAACTAAGAGGTCCTTGTCTAAGCAACAATGTAAAGCGCAGCGGTGTAGCCGAATAAATTGCTCACAATCGCAGAGCCAAGACATTTTATACAAAACAATGTTTGTTCGTGTTTAATGCGATGCCGTGCCGCTCATCCGATTGCAATAAAAAAGAAGGGGGCGAGAGAGAGGGAAAGTATACTGAGAAACTTCCTTTTATCCACCAAGAATTTTATTACAACAAAGCTGACCAAGGATACGTTGTCGCTAAAGACTTTATCGACGGGTTGACCTTCTCAACGTTCACACTGAAAAAAAAAGAAAAGTACTGTTCCGGTACTACAGTGCTTGCATTCCATCTGGAAAGTTTCCCATCAATATAAAGAAAATCGATTATCTGAAAAAATTGGCCGAGTACACTACAGGTTACGAAGATTTGTACATCATCTAGTGGCCTACAATAGAAGCGTAGACAGGGTGTAAAAGGATGATTAATTATTAAACACACAAATAAGTGCTCCTATTTTGTGGTGGGTTTTATTTTTAATTACAAATAGACGGTAGCCGATACTGTTGATAGTGAGTTTAAGTTTAATAGAATAGAATTTAAGCATAAAAATATTATCTTTTTAGCTTTTCTTCTGTTTTTTTATACTTAATAAATTTTGATATAAAGTATGATTATTGATTATTTTCCGAAACTCTGTAGTTATTAGGACTAATCTTAATTTTACTGTTCTTACATCTATTATGAAATAATTTGTAACAGTTATTTAGTTCTATTATAAATATGTGGAGACCAGTAATTATATTTGCTGCATAAATAGGCGGGCCTTTGATAGTATTTGGCAGTCATCTGATGTATGTTTATATATTCAAAACGTTATTCTTCTAAATTTTGACCTAATCTTTCAAGTTCACTGAATCTGTTATTAACTCCGGATCTGAATTCTATATCATTAGCTAGATTTGCACTAGAATCGGTTCTTTTGGGATCTTCAAAGTACTGGCATATATTGTCGTTGACTGACCTGTTTTACTTCCGAGTTGAATCGGGAGTTGCTGCGCGTTGAGGCCTTCAGCACCGTTGCTGGCCTCCACGCTGTCCTAGCTTCGTTGTTGGTTCGAGGATGGGTCGGCGGTTTGGTTCATTTCTTCTTCTAGTAAGGTGTTTTGCGGTACGGGATTCACGACACTGTTAATACCGTCGGTGAAATCGGAATTGAGGAGAAATTTTAGGGCCTCGTATATTGCCCAGCGGCTGATGGGTTAACATTGTACGTCATGTTTCTCAACACTTCTCGCTCTCCATGCAACATGGCGGCCAGCGCCTGGTCTGTCTTTTCAAAGGATGTGCCCGTGCTGTGGCCACGTGGTCCAGAGAGTATATACGTGGTCCGTGACGCAAACTGCTGCTGCGAAGAACGTGCAAAAATCGGTGCGCCGGAGTAACTTACCCATATCTTTCCACCATATGTAGCATGTGTAAGACAGAGGGACTTGTGTAAGCTATAACTTACACCCTTTATATAGAGGGACTGGACTCTGCTCGCACTGAACCGGAACCCTCGGAAGTATGTCGATATTATTTCGAGGGTGCCTACTGGACACGACTGTCAGTATTTCCATATTGTACCGTAAGTTGTACCTCTAAACGTAACTAACAATAACTAATGGTAACTCTAAACATACCATAACAATATATTTTTTTAAATATTTGTAAGTTGGATATTTCTGATTTTTTATTAAATATGAAGATTGGATATTAGTTTTCACTCTCTCTTACTTAAAATTATAGACAATTTCTCGCTCACCTCTCAGTGTTGCCAGATGATCTTGACCTAGATAGAGCGCTGCGAAAACCTCCAAAACGTCAAATTCAAAATAGGATTATTTCATATTTAAAATATGTGAAGGTGCGCAAATTAATTATTTATATTTTACTGAAAACGCCTATATTTTGTAATATATAAAAATAGGTATAACAATTATTTATATGATAATATACATATACAAGTATTATCCACGCACGTTTTCTTGAGGCCTCTTTTCGCTAGATGGCAGAGTGGGGGGTTTGATTATATAGTTGACGAAACTATTACATCGTCTTCAGCTTGATTTTCGAAACAAAATAGTTATTATTTCACGAAAGGGAGAATTTTTTGTTTTCAAATGTCAGCAACGCTCCTTGCAATAATTTATTTTGAATTCAACTAATGACAGTATAGAAATAGACGATAGGTATTCCGGGTCTCAAGAATACGTGCGGGTACAATACACACACATTGAGCAAGTTTTGTTTTAACCGGTTTCACACTGTGAAAGAATTACGAAACTTACGAGCTATCTTCGTTTCTTTCGTTGATTCATTGACTGAAAGAGATAATGATATCTTTTAGTAAGAACATTCTTTCAACCTAAATTGTTGTTTACAATATTTATTGTTGTGATTCGTTCCTTTTTATTATATCCTCACGTTTTCTTGAGCCCCGGAGCATCTACCCTCACTCCTTTCCCAACATTAGTTACATTAAGAATAAATGATAGCAATGAGTGTTGTGGACAAAATCTGGTAACGAATGTTCGCTCCATTAAAAAACGTATTTTGCATGGAAAAATGAAGTACAAATTCGACGTAAAATTCCTTTTGTCAAAATAACCAAACTCCCCACTCCTCTCGCATCTAGCGAAGCGAGGGTTCAAGAAAACGTGTGCGGATAACATCAAATGTGTTGTCCTCTTCTACCAATCTGGTTGAGAAATAACCGCCAGTTTTAAACGAGGGATTTCTATATTATATAAATCGGTTCCTTATCCCTTGCGTTGCAGGTATAGCAGCTGATATTTTCCCCTGATTTTTAATCTTCAGTTTATTTTCTGTATATACACAGGATGTCCGGGAAGGAAATGTGAAAACCAAGCTCTAAAGACAATTTTAAGAATATTTTGTCCAATAAACTAGGTGGATATTAGGTACAATGCTTAGCAGCAATGTACACTCGAATGCTGGTTTGAAAAAATGTTTTCTATGCACACATTTGCATTGCACAAGCATAGAAACACTCCAGAAACATGTAAATTGTTTATTTTTTACAAAATAAATTAATATATTTGTTCAGAAAGATAAATTAACACAAATAAAGAAGTCGAATTGTGTAAATTGGACGCTGTTTTATTAGTAGCCAAATAAGAACTTATTTGTGAATTTGTGTTTGTGACGTTTCCTCCCCGCACATCTGTGTATATACATTTTT